TAAAAAAAAATACTTAGCACAAATTTATTGAATTCCCAGCTGCACGGGCGTAGCTAGAAGGGGTGCGAACCGTAACATGCTGTCTGACCAACGCCAGCCTCGGGTAATCTTTCGCCCTGTGTGAAGCACCCGTTCGGCTCCCCCTTCCCTGTTCACATTTCACGATAATAAACTAAGAGAATTTAAATATTTACTGGGCGCCCCTATGGCCACGGCGCCCTGTGCAAGGGCACAGGTCACACACCCTAAAGGCCGGCGTGGGTCTGTAATTTCACGTTTATCTGCTACCCTTACCCTTAGGCTGATCTACTGGGCAGCAGTATCTGCAGACTAAAGGCTTTACTCTTAATAAAATAAAAAGGTGAACAACCTAGAGTTCTTAGCATTGTGTCTGCACGAAAAAGGTGCCACTTGGTGGAACGTGTTAGTAAAAATCGCTTTTAAAATAAAAGCAATATGGAATTTCGCAAGAGAGGAGATTAAGGTATAAGAAGAGAATGTCAGGAGAACAATTAATAGATGCTGTAATCTCTCTCTCTCTCTCTCTCTCTCTCTCTCTCTCTCACTGTCTCTCTCTCTCTCTCTCTCTCTCTCTCTGCGAGAAGAAAACAGTAGGGATATGCTGGAGTGCATTGATCGTTTTCATTCTGAACTGCAGATCAGATCATCAATGATCAAGGAAGTAGCAGATATGTTTGGGGCTGTTCAACAAGCCAAGAGTCAGCAAGTGAAGAAGATTTATAGGTTTCCGTTCCAACATCTTTCAAGCCAGTAGAGAGCTAACCCCATTAATATTTAGTCATATAAATGGCACACTTTCACGATAAATACTGTGCACTCATCCGGAAATGCCACCGCTCCATATTCAGAAAAAAAGTGATACTTGGCCGGACCACTCCATCCGCCTCCCCGCTTTTTCTACGCCACTGGCAGTGGAGGAGCGAGAAAGTTTTGGCGCCAGAGGACATGATTCATTCTCAGCTGCTAAAATATTAAGAAACCAGGGCTTAACCGGTTGCAGTCTTTTTTTTACACCGAGTATTTTGGGAAAATACCAGGGTGGGTCCAAGTGTTACACGAAAACAAAAACAAAAATGAAAAAGAGTTAACTTCTCATTTTCTAAAATATATGCCTGCCCTTAAATAATAATGCTACAGACAGACTTACACCATACCCGTGGCTCTTTCTTGATTAATATATTAGTCTCCTCCCTGTAAAGAAATCAAAATCAGCCTATTTCAACCGTCACCCACCCATACGGCTCGCTGCGTGACAGACTCCCCCCCCCCCCCC